TTGATTACTGGTGGCTCATTTTTGGTGCGGTCTCCCCTCCAGCTGGCTGACTGGGAGCTACAGTTCCTGTGTCTTGTATGTGCCCATTGTGAAGTGTTTTTTGTTCTCTTTGGTTCAAAACCTCATATCAGCTAAGCTTCTATTGATTGTTCAGGTTACTTGTACAAAGATCAGCCAAGAATCTCAATTTACATTCTTGACAAGGTATACAAATTAGTCTTCCATAGTTTCATGGAGGCTTGCAGAAGATACAAGACCCCTGTCATGCTAGAACCCAGCAGTCCTGACATGAAAATCCTCTGAATCTGCCTTACTCCTGTTCTGATAATGTAGGGGGTATTTTTTACTACCTACTGCCATGGCTCTAGTTTCTATGTATCATCAAAGGTTTAACTTCTAGGCCAGCTTCTAATCTAGGCCTGCTTCTCAGTGAGAGAAATATGCAGGTTTTAAATGGTCTTGTAGAAAGAGTTCCCACAACACAGAGAACTGTCAATAAAGTCAGTATAAACACTAACTTTTAGTAAGGGGAGGTACTTTAGCCTACTTTAACAGCCTTTCAAATTGTACCAGCAGGAGCTTCACACACATATAAATCAGGAAAGTAAGCCAATGAAAAAGATTCATTAGTAAAATAGTGTGCCTGGCATATTCTGCCAAAGTGAGTGCTCCTTGTCTTCAGGGACTTTTTATTCTTATTCCATAACCTCTCTCACCACAGTAAGACAATGTTGGCTGCTAGTAGGAGGATGGTAGTGAGACAAGGAATAGGTACTTTGTGACATGAAGAAGTCATCAGCTGGCTTATTCCCAGAGGCAACTGGTAAAAAATGTTCAATGTCAGAAAATTTCAACTTCATGAAATTCCTGACTTAGGAGTTTTAGCCTCAATTTCTAGGTCTAAAAAAGACAGTTTAGTTGATTAAGTCACTGGGATGCTCCAATTATCAGTGGGATGCTATGCAGCATCTCCAATTTAAGAGGAGAGTTTTGCCACTTTCTATAGGATACCTCCTTTTAGTCCTCAGAGTTGCCTGTTATCAAACAAAAGTATGCAGAGGTTTAAAAAACCATAATTTAAGGAGGCACCATTATAATATAGAAGAGGCCTTTTAGGTTTAGGGGATGTAATGCCACTGGAAGGTGACTGGAGCTATGTCCCACTCTCAGCTGTTTTAATTATCAAGATTGAAGTATCCTAGGTAGACCTTAATTTAATCCAATCCAATGGGCAGGAAACATTTTTTCTGGGTTTTTATAAATTCTATGAATCACATCATAAAACATGTAGCTCTTGGTAAGTCACGCTAGCCATGTACTTTATCCTCATCACCCTGCCAAGAAAGCTTTGTTACAATTTTAAGTGATAGGGTACATAGCTCTCAGTTGTTTACAAATGCAGAGAAGTGTCCAGCTCACTGGTATAGATATCTTTGATGAGAAGGTAATTAAAATCCAATATATATCCGCCAGATAAGCAAACTTGACATAACTGGAGAGAGCATTGATGATTAATATTACTGCAGAATATTTTATGGCAAAGTCATTTACCAAAGAGTTGTGGCCTAGGCAAGTCAGTACTCCAACCAGAGGCTGCTTTCTTCCTACAAGAAGGCAATTCAGATGCCCTTCTATGTATGATGGGGTTACAACCTGATAAACCATCATAAATTGAAAATACCATATGTCAAAATGCATTTAATATGCCTAACCAACAAAATATCATAGCTTAGCCTAACCTACCTTAAATGTTCTTAGAACACAATATTAAAGAAAAAAAAAAGAACTCTGGCAACAAATCACACTGAAGAGTATAGGTTGTTTATGCTTGTGATCACGTGGCTGACTGGGAACTGTGGCTGGCTGCTGCTGCCCAGCATCATGAGAGAATATTGTATGGCATATCGCTAGCCCAAGAAAATTAAAAAGTAAAAATTTGCAGTACAGTTTCTACTGACTGTGTATCACTTTCTCACCAACATAAAGTGAAACAATCTTAAGTTGAACCATTGTAAGCTTACTGTTAAGGCAGGACTTTTGGTAATGGGTGGCGTACTCAGATAGGTTCTTCCATCCCCTAAAAGGGATAAACATGTATGTGTATTGAAGGAAAGGTAGAGACTTAACTCTGATGTTCTACAATTATAAGACATTGAATAGTTTTCTTTGAATCTTCATTCTTCCAAACTATTCACACTATACTAACAAGTTTGGACATTTTTACTTAAGGGTACTAAATTCTACTCCTCCCTTTGGTCACTTTTGTTACCCTTCTTACTCCCTGAAAGCAAATTTTATCTCATCCTGCATTGCCTGTCATAGTACTTGAGAAAGAGAATTGCTCAGTAAATGTTTGAACTGAAATGCGGAACTTTTTTTGTTGAGGCTCAACAACAGAAGGTACACCCTATGGTTCTAAAATCATTTTCTGTTATAGTAAGAGAATAGCTCTCTTTTTAAAAACTTCTAGTTCACTTTTTATTGTTTTTTAAAAATTTTATTTATTTTTAAATTTTTCACATACATTTGTCTCCATTTACCTGCCACCATTCTCCCCTGCCCCACCCACCCCCACCTCCCCTCCTCAATCCTTCCCCACGTTGGTTTCCATGTCTCTTTCACACCTGTTCCTTGATCTGATCCTTTCCTTTCCCCTCCCTGCTAACTCACTGCCCCCTTTCTCCCATCTCTGTGGGTTTCTTCTTTCTTTCAATGTTGCTGATCACATTTTCCTTGCCTGCTTACTTTGCTGATTAGGTTCCACTTACAGGTGAGATCATATGGCATTTGTCTTTCACACCCTGGCTTATTTCACTTAGCATAATTCTCTCCAGTTCCGTCCATGCTGTCGCGAAGGGTAGTAGCTCTTTCTTTCTTTCTGCTGTGTAGTACACAATTAAAAACATTACTGGATTTTTATAACTCTACCTATCCATTGGGATGATGTCTTCAGGAATTTCTGTCCAGTGACTCTCAGATCCCTGTGCTGAGCAAGAAACTGATGGCTCAGAGACAGTTTATGATTATGGCTTGGCATATTTTCCTCTAAAAATGCTCCTCACAGTTCTTATATTATCACAAAAACTATGTCATGCATTCTCATGAAGAACAGAAAGAACAGATTATTATCTTCATTTCATAGGTTAGAAAACTGAGGTCCACAAAGATTATATCACTTGCTCAAGACCACAAGGCAGTTTATATCAGAATGAGAATTTCTAGTCCTGAATTTACTACTTACTAGCTGTGTAATTTTGTGTGCATCATTTAATACTTCTGTCTCAGTTTTCTCACATGTAAAACATGGAAACTATACCTATTTATTAGCCCTTATGGAGTTGTTCATGATAAACAAATAATATTTATTATTTATATGATATTTACATTTTTCAACCTATCTATATATCGCTTATCTCATTTAATTCTGTAAGACTGATTTCATTATTAACTCTAATTTTCAGGTGAAGAAATAGAGACTGAGAAAGCTGACTAGCTCAAAGTCATACAGCTAGAATGTGTCAGAGCTGATATTTGGATTCATGTCTAACTCCAAGATACTGTTCTTTCCAACTATACCACATCTATTGGAAAGTAGGTGAGATAACCAATGTGAAAATGCTTTATAAAATGTAAATGCCTTACAAATGTTATTTAAATGTTAAGGAATATACCAATTTATAAATAAATAAATAAAATGTTACCAGACTGTTAAGGAGGACTCAGAAACAAAGTTGAAAAAGTTGCTGTATACATAGATCAAACATGTCAGGGCTGGGTCAGAAGAACTTGAGATATATGTGATACCATTCCAAAGACAAATCAGTGAAAAACAAATTTCCTATCTTGGTTTTAAATCTCATATTCAGAATAGCAACGTAATCACATCAGACATATTCTAGTGTTACACTAAAAATGTCACTCAGCACAAGTAGAGAAGTATGTGTCTGTCAACCTTAATCTAGAATCAGAGTCCTCTGTTATCTTTAAAGATGACACCTATAAAGATGGCTGAGCAGGTTTGATAAAAGAAGCTGAGAAATTTCAATGCTCCAATGTAATACCAGGCAGCTTTTAGCCTCAACTGTCAAGACACTCTAATAAATGTAAGACAGCCCTAATAATAATAACACTGAATTTACAGATCAGTAATTATTGTTGTACCCATGACTAGCTAGCTTAGAGAAGTAAACTTTTAAGTATCACAGCTATTGGGTTGGCCAAAAAGTCCGTTTAGTTTATTCCATAAAACAAAAGACACATTTTTCATTTTTACCAATAACTTTATTGATTTGGATATTTTGAGTATGTTGGCTATCTCCCACTATTGTCTTCTAGTGGGTAGAGGCCAAGGGTGCTGCTAAACATCTTCAAATGCATAAGATAGCCCCACAGCAAGGAATTATTTGGCCAAAATGTCAGTAGTACCAAGAAACTTCGCAAACCACTTTTGACATATTCAATCAGTCACAGCACCTCCTACAAGTACTGCACAAATATTTTTTTGTGTGTTTCAGTTGCATTTTTACCTTTCTTGAAATAATAAAGCATAACACACCAAAAATGTTGCATATATTCTTCCATCTTCAATATTAAAATGGCTGCTCAAAAATTCACCAATTTTGAAGTTTTTTTCTAATGCACACTGATATAACAGCTGTCAAAATACAATCTAACAAAATTATTTTGAATGAAGCTAAAGACAACTAAGCACTACTAGAGCCATTTTATGGAAAAAAAAACTAAACAAACTTTTGGGCCAGCCCAATACATTTTCACTACCAAGGTTTCCATCCAGCAGACTGAGCACATTTATTACCGTTTTGGCAGAAGTTGGTCTGGATACAGTGACAGGTGATAGAACATGTCTTGGTGTTTCATTAGGGTCTTGTTGTGACCATGGAAGCTTGGTACTATTTAATTCTGGCTAAATTCCAAGTCAATAACTTGTTAAAGAAAGAAACTGTGTCTCTCTGTGGTTATAAGAGTAAAAAGTTACCAACCTCAGCTTGTTTGCACCAAACGCTGATGTTTTTACGCTGGGCTTTTGTGAAGTGGTCCCATGCCTTTTGTTTGGAGGCAGAATGGTACACAGCTACTATCTGCTCAACTGCAGCATCAGATCAGCAGTCGAATCGGGCCAGGGTATATCATCCAGGATGGCAAAAGAGATGAAAAAAATAAGAGAAGCATTAGATTTGTTGTATCTTCCTGTATGACACTACTAGGCTATAGTTCTACTCAGAAAAAAACTATGTGTGTTAGTATACCATGATTTTAAAGGGGACTCAAGGGCACAGACATCAATATGCAGAAAGAAAAATGTGAACTCCATAAAGTCTAAACTGATATGGTGACCGAAGTTTTAATATAGGCAGTCTGTCTCCATTCAGGCAGGAGAGGCAAGGGTCCTGGTGAATGTGATTTAGTGCTACTGACTCCACGCAGCATGACGGCAAGCAGTGAACTGTACCAGCTCTTTTTGACCACTTACTTCTTTCATAAACTAGCCCTCCAAAATGAGCCCAGATGCTTCACTTCCACATAATTCATCCTCTTACTATTCTGAGGTATGTTTAACCAGAAGCATTATATCAAAACTTAAGATGGATGGAATCCATTGTAAGTCTAGCTGGATAGGCTCATTAACTAGAGAAATGTAAGTTTTATGAAATGACACTGTGTAAGTGCAGTCCTAGATAGTATTTCTCAGAGTTTCTTAAAATATCAAAAGGGAAAATATACAAGTATTTTGGGGCTTTATCCTAACAAGTTTAAGAGAACTGAAACAGACATGACATTTTTTGGGAAAAGAAAAGGACAAGAGCCTGTGCATGGCTGGTGTTCATAGTAAGAAAATGCAGAGGTTGCTGTTTCTTTCTTTATAGCCCAGTTTGTACCCTGTATACTAATGATTTAAGATTTATATCCCATGACACTTGATCTTCTCTTTTTCTATATTCTTTATTCCTACAAACACGTGCTTTCTCTTTCTGGATTCTATGCCCATATGTATTTTCAAAATATAAATTAAAAATAAAACAACTCCTCCTTAATTCCAATTACATATGAGTCAAGTATGGGAATTCAAGTATGAGAAGAGTAGGCCATAACTGCTTAAAAGCAAAATCATAAAGCTGCACCCTTATTCTTAAGGCAAATACAGTTCCTTACTCAAAAGATGTGAATGCAGTATAGTGAAGTAAAACATTAGTTGATAATTTTTCTGATTTATGCCATTTAAGAGACTTTGGGTAGGTTTAGAGTGGTACTTCTTTTTGAAAAATGGCCATTTCAGTGGCTTCCCATCATGTCCCAATGTCTATGACATCCAGCAAAAGCAATGTAGAAGACAGAAAAACAAAATACTGAAATAGCAAATTTGGCTTTTATTCAATCACCCTGTGAAATATGATTACACTGATTACTAAAATTGAGTACCTAAAAAGCATATTATGTCATAATAATAATGCAAATCTTACAAATGCTGATGCTACATTCTAACTTCAGCAACAAAATACTGAACTTTCACTGAGGCCTGAGGCTGCTTGTAACTTGAGAATGAGCCAACGTAGAAGCACAGGACTGTGGTCTAAGTGTCAGTGTTTGTTTCTAAGGAGCTGAAGTAGATATTCTAGAGAAAAATAACATAGGAGGTACCCACATGTATCCTGTGAAATTGAAGCTCAGGCATTTGGCAATTTAAGGAGAGTACAAGATAGTTAAAGAAGCCTTGTCCTTTGACATAGAATAGTTATGTAGGCCTGGCTCCTGAGCAGAAAAAGTGGTGACTAAGTGAAGTGCCCTCTCATTTTTTCAGCAGAACTCCTGAGATTTCCACTTACATTGAATGAGAATTCCAGAAAGGGCCTGCTTGAACTTCTCTTTAGCTTCTTCCATGTCTTTCTCATGTGTAGCTTTCTCATTCACCAGGCGGCGGACATGGCTGTTGGCCGACTGGATCATTGAGTAGAAGTTGTTGGCGCTGCGACGGTTCACCTCTCCTCGCTCAATCCAAGTGAGCAAGGTCTGCACAGCTTCTGAGAATTTGGAATCATCTGAAAAAAAAAAAGAATTTGTTTTTAGAACCATCGAATGTAACCAAATCCTGATCTATTTTCCCAACATGCTGGTAAGGAGGCCCCCATGACTTTTTGGCAGTGGCTTTCAAATGAACTACTGAGGATGAGGAGTTGTACATGAACATGCATGTGCATACAGGTAACAGGCAGGCAGACAGACTGAAAAAATGAAAGACATAAAGCAGACTGGTTGTAGTTGATGAAGAATTTTCAGAAAGTCAATTGTTTATTCTTCCCTTTAAAAAAGTTTTCTTTACCGATATAGTTTTCACACATTGTAAATTTCTAAACCTCTCTGTGTAACATATGAATTAGCAGTGAGTAAACTTTAGAATTTTACAATCCTACTTTTTAATAAGGAAAAGTAAACTTGAGTCCAACTTGAATTTGATAGTAACTTTTTCCTTGATCTGGAATTATAGTGTTGGAGGGAGCCTTAAGAAGGAGTTAAGTGGGTAATTCTTTAGGTATAAACACTTACATCTTTGACCTTTTATAACATCACTCCTGCATTCAAACCACAGCCCCAGGCCTTCCACTCAGTCCCAGTCACACTCTATTTTGACGTAATTAATTATATTTCTACATTCCTTCACATATTGTTTTGCTTGCCTGAGAAAACCTCAAAGTAGATTTATACAGTTAGTTAGCAGTTATTCTCTAATGTTAAAATGGTAGCAGAGCTCTTCCACAGCTTCTCATCCAGCTTCCTGAGATAGTCACTTATATATTCTGCTGTTAAAAACTCGGGAGAGGGAGAGTCAATTAGCAACCCCCTGAAAGGCCATTCTAGGGCTCCATATCTCTCTCTGGCCAGAAACCCTTATGTCCAGTGGAAATATCTCTCAGTGCAATTAGATTCTCTTGCCTCTTGTGCTTTTCCACTGTAGACATGTAACAAGAGGCTAGCCTTCCCTTTACAGCAGTTTTTCATTTCACTAGTTGTATGCAGTCTATATGTTTTGCTTGCTTTATACTTGATGTCCATGTCACCCACAAATTCATTTAAAATTTTTTTAATTGACCTGTTTGGTGTTATATGAACAGTTCAGTCTTGGACAGGCATCTTACCAATGCCTTCAGCCTTTCCAGTTTTTCAAAATGTACCATTATTTCTGTGTCTTTATTCTAGACTCTATGTTTTCTGCTTTTTTCTTATAGGAAGACAAAAATCAGTCCAAACAAAGGATTTCTTAAATGTGTGAATCCTTTAGGCCAGTGATTTTTAACCTTTTTCATGTCATGGAACACATGAACTAATTACTAAAATTCTGTGGCACACTAAAAATTTTTTTTGCTGCTCTGACAAAAATAGTTATAATTTTGATTCATTCATACTTGATGGCTATTGTGTGTTGGCTGTTTTTATTTTTATTTTTTACTGACAATCTAAGGGAAAAAAGGCCAGTGACCCTGACTGACCTAAATAATCAGGCACTGCATGTTTAAAAAATTGAGCAATATTTTTTTTTTAAATTCCTGCAGCACACCAATGTGTCTCTGGAAGAACACTGGATGAAAATCGCTGCCTTAGGCAATATGGTACAAACAAATTTGGTGAATGAGACCTACAAAAAGTCCAATTAGCAGCATCTTACTGAGCCTAAAGCACAAGGAGAAACTCATATCATTAGAGCTGGGTTGCTGTCATCAATAAGATTAATGGGACAGCAGCATTCATTTAATAAAATCAACCATACTCAAAGAATGAAAAAGACTGAATTTGAGCTACTAACACAGGAGGCTAGGCAGGGCAATTGATGTTAAATTAGCAAAATGGTTCTGAGGGGCAAGCAAGAGAAAAAGGAATCAAAACTAAAGGGGAAGCAGTCTCATTTACCAATGTCTAGAAGTCTCTATGGACACCGTGTGAAATAATTTGACTATTTTAAGTGATTAAACAAGTCCTCTTCTGGTTGGTGATAGCTAAGTCTTTGAGTAATCTAAGAAGAATTGACTGTGACTACTCTTGGGGGCTCCTTTTTATCATCTGTACATGGAGATTTTTACCAAAGTTTTCAGGGTCACATCAAATTGCATCATTCTAATTTATTCTGATTTACAATTCAAAACTAACTTGTTATCCATGACAAAAGGTGGTGCTTACATGTTCCAAGTCATTGATTACAGCTAAAATTCTTCAATGTGGAAAGTGGGGGAAAACTTGTTTCTTTCTAGAAACTTGATGTGTTGAGAGAAAAGTGCCATCCCTTGAGACAGTGAAAGAAGAAAAACACAGGTGGTGGGGACAGATTTTGTAGTTGTTTTAGGTACACATCTATCTGCAAGGCTCCAACACAAGGAATGTTTATAATCTATTAGTGGATAATTCAAAGGATAACTGTCAAAACTACAAACATATTTACTAAATTTCCCCAAAGAAAATAGTTCTTTTAATCGCAAAGCTTGAATGTTTTCTATACCTTTTAGTTTTTCAGCAACAATGCTGCATTCATGATCTGAATAGTGAACCACTGGGGGTGGGGATGGTGGGCGCAATCTTTCTTCTTCCATCCTTCTTCGGTGGCGTTCTTCCCTTGCTAGCATACGCTGTTTGCATTCCCACTCATACAGGTCATCTCGAGCCTGTGCAAAATCAACATGGAGCCGGCCCGTGTCCTTCTTGTCAGTGCTAGAGCCCAGGCGAATGCGGTAACCTAAGTGTACAAGAGGGAGACAGAGGCATATAAGAGCAGCCCAGTAAGTGACCAAATGTAAATACCTTTCCAACTGTAGCACTTCAGATGAAGTTGTAGCACTTTCAAGTGATCGTATAACTCCAAATTTCTTCCCCAGTACTAGCAAGGTGAACTATCAAAAGACTTGGATTATTCTCTCATCTCTGATAACAGTTTACTATTCTATTGTTTGAGTCAGTCTCATCTGTAGGCTCTCCTTTCATCCCTCTGCAATCTTATCTCTGGCAGAGGGAGGCTCTCTGGGTAATGGTATCAAGAACAAGTCTTATAATGCCAAAAGCACAAATAACAACAAAAAAAAATTGACAAATGGGGCTACATCAAATTCAGATGGAACAATAAAAAAAGAAAAAACCTACAGAATGGGAGAACATCTTTGCAAACCTTATATCTGATAAAGGCATTAATATCCAAAATATATAAAGAACTCAACTGACTCAATTACAAGAAAAAATCCAATTAAAAATTGGCAGAACTAAATAGACATTTCTCCAAAGAGGACATCAAAATGGTTAAAAGACATGAAAAGATGCCCAACATCCCTAATCATCAGGGAAATGCAAATCAAAACTTCAATAAGATATCACCTTACACCTGTCAGAATGGCTATAATCAACAAGACAAGTGATGAACAGTGCTAGCAAGGATGTGGAGAAAAGGGAACTGCTGTACATTGTTGGCAGGAAAGTGAATTTTTCTAGCTACTATGGAAAACAATGTGGAGGTTCCTCAAAAAATAATAAATCACCAAACAACAAGTGCTGGAGAGGATGTGGAGAAAAGGGAACCCTAGTACACTGTTGGTGGGAATGCAGACTGGTGCAGTCACTGTGGGAAACAGTGGAAATTCCTCAAAAAGCTAAAAATGGAACTGCCTTTACATCCAGTGATTCCACCACTGGGAATATACCCTAAGAATCCCAAAACACCAATTCAAAAGAACCTATGCACCTGTATGTTCATAGAAGCACAATTTACAATAGCCAAGTGCAGGAAACAGTCTAAGTGCCCATCAGTAAATGAGTAGATTAAAGAACTGTGGTTCATATACACAATGGAACACTATGCAGCGGAAAGGAAGAAAGAACTACTTTTTGTGAAAGCATGGATGGAACTAGAGACTATTATGCCAAGTGAAATAAGCTAGTTGGTGAAAGACAAATACCATATAGTCTCAGTTATAAGAGGAACCTAATGAACAAAATAAACTAACTAGCAAAGCAAAACCACAGACATGGAGACAGGGAACAGAATGACAGCTGCCAGAGGGGAGGGGAAGGGGGATAATGGTGGAAAGAAGGAGAAGGGAGTAATCAGAGAACATGTATGAATGACCCATGAACTTGGACAACAGTGTGGGGATGGACTGTAGGAGCAGGGAGTACAGCAGGATGGAGGAAGGCAAAGGGGGAAAAATTGGGATAACTATAATAGAATAAACAAGAATAAGGAACAAAAAAGTAGGGAAACAAAAATAAAATAAATCTACCATATTATCCAGCAATTCCATTTCTGAGTGTATACACAAAGAAAATAAAAACATGATTTTGATGAGAAATATGCACTCCTATGTTTATCACAGCATTATTCACAATAGTCAAGATATGGAAACAACCCAAATGTCCCTCGGTGGATGAATGAATGGATAAAAAGGGTGTGGTACTTTGACACAATGGAAACATTTTCAGCCATGAGAAGGGATGATATACTCTCATTTACGACAACATGGATGGACCTTGAGCACTTTATAGCAAGCGACATAAATCAAGCAGAGAAAGATAAGTACTGTAATATCACTTGTATGTGGAATTTAAAAAAGTTAAATATGCAAAAGAAAAAAGAGTAAAATAATGGTTACCAGGGGGTGGGAGTAGTGTGGATAAGAGTGATGGTGTTTCATGGTACAAACTTGTTACAAGTTTGTAGTAAATGAGCCATAGGGATCTAAAGCACAGTATAATATAGACATTAGATTATACTATAATTATGTAATGTAATAAGTATTGCTACATCAGCAATCACATTACAATATATAAATGTTTCAAAGTAACACATTATATACCTTAAAGTTACACAATGTTACACGTCAAATGTGTTCAATTAAAAAAAAAATGAATCTTATACAACACCATGGGCTAGGAAGAATGGCCTCAAACTGTGGTGTCTTTGAATAACTTCAAGAGTGTCAGTCATACCATTACACAGAATCTTAATAAAATATTTTTAAGAACAAAATACAATTTTTATTGTGGTAAGATCACTTAATATGAGATCTACCCTCTTAAAAATTTTAAGTGCATCAGTTTGGCATTTCAATCCTGAAAATTGTTTCCTAGATGTATCTGGCAATTCTGAACCAATTTGGGGGGGACTAGAAAATAGATGTGATAAAGTGGTATGTGATCCAGGTGACATATACTTTGGGATTCTTAAAAAAGTGGTAGTGTGCATGTAATATAGTGGTGTAAGACTAGGATTTAGAAAACCAAGATTGAAGTCCACACGTCTACTTTGTACCAGCTGTACAACCCAAGTTAAGTCAATTAACAAAAAATGGGAAAAATTAGTTTTTACTAACTTTTAAAGTTTCAGAAGCTGAGTTAGCTGCTTCCATGCACATTTGTCTCATTTTATTCTCAGCACAAGCTTGCATAGTAACTTCTGCCTTAAACAACTGAAAATATAGGGAAAATATATTAAATGATGGTTTTCAAGACATTGGACATTGTGCAATGAAGACAGAGATCACTGGGAGATGAGAACCAAATGAAATGACCACTATGATGTTCCCAGCTTGTTGCCTGGAGAGTTTCCAGGCCTCTGCACAGGTAGCTGAGGAGTGGCCCTCAGGTAAAGCATAGTGATCTCCATGAGTTGAGGAGACTGAACTGGGAATCCAGGAAGACTATGGGAGGCAGAGTTTGTATGGCACAGTACTGGAAAGAAAAAAGCTACACAGAGCAAAAAAAAATTAAAGATCTGAAGAAAGATCTAAATAATACTCCACTATTATTTAGCTGAGTATTGATGTCTGCATGTGTGTATGTGAAAACTACCTGACCATTAGAGGTAGCAATCCCTGAATTTCATACAGTGCTGGGGATAGTTCTCTTTCATGCCAGCCAGAGCAGAGAAACTATTAATTCACAGAATATAAGATAATCAGAAGGGTTTTGCCTTAGTTAGTGAAGAAAAACTAGCCCTAGATTAAACCCTGCTCTGGTTCTGCTGATCAAGGCTTAAAAAAGCAGGACCTAAAATGATACAACACTTTGCAAGTTACTTAACTGCATCTCAGAACAAAGTTTGAGAATATTTATAGGAATGAAAAAATATCTGGCACACAATAAGCTAAAAATTCACATTGTCTGGTATCCAATAAAAAAAAATGCCCTATCTGCAAAGAAGCAGATAATCATAATAAAGATAAAAATATCAATAAATCAAAACAGACCCAGATGTGATATAGATGATATAATAATAGATAAGGATATAAAATCAACTATTATTATTGGGTTTCATATGGGTAATAGGCTAGAGAAAATATTGAACATATTAAGTAGAAACACAGAAGACATAAAAAAGAACCAAGATCAAACTGCTAGAGATTTAAACTACAATGTCTAAGTTAAAAAAAAAATTAGTGGATAAGATCAATGGTAAATTAGACATTGCAGAAGAAAAGATTAATTAACCTGAAGACGTAGCAAATAAACTATTCAAAATGAAATATATAGAGAAAAAAAGCTGAATAAAAAATAAACAGAGTACCAGTGAGCTGTGGTACAACTTCCAGGGTCCTAATATATGCCTAATTGGAGCCCCAACTGAAGAGAGGAAAGGGAATAGAAAAAATATCTGAAGAAACAAAGGCAGAAAACCTTCCACATTTTATGAAAATTCAAAGATCTAAGAACTTCAAAGAATTCCAGGCACAAGAAACACGAAGGAAATTACACCAAAGTGCAACATGATTAAATTGTTCAACACTAGCAATAAAGACTCTCTTAAAAGCTGCCATAGACAAAAGACACATTATATACAGGAAAACAGAAAGATAAGGATAACATCATATTTCTTGTCAGAAACAATGCAATTAAGATAATGGAGCAATGAACTACAGAAATGATCCCTGAAAGTATAGTTTATACCAATGACATATTTCACAGATATAGAACAAACATTTAAAAAATGTATATGAAACCATAAATGACCCCGAATAGCCTCAGCAATTTTGAGAAAGAAGAACAAAGTAGGAGGGATCCAAATACCTGATATCAAACTATATTACAAGGCCACTGTAATCAAAACAGACTGGTACTGGCATTAGAATAGACAAATAGACCAATGGAAAAGAATAGAGAGCCCAGAAATATACCCATGTCAATATAGTCAGTAATTATTTGACAAAGAGGACAGGAACATAAAATGGAGTAAAAAGAGCCTCTCCAATAAATGTGTTGGCGGATCAGGACAAGTACATGCAAAAAAAAAAAAGAAACTAGACCACCAACATACCAAAATAAACTCAAGATGGAAAAAAGACTTAAATATACAACACCATCAAAGTCCTAGAGGAGAACATAGGAAATTCTCAGATATCCCACACAACAATATTTTCATTGATACATCCCCTAGGGCAAGGGATATAAAGGAAAGAATAAACAAATGGGACCTCATTAAAAAAACAAAAATGCTTCTGCATGGCTAAGGAATACATCAACAAAATGGAAAGGGAACTGACCATAATGGAAAACATATTTGCCAAAGATACCTTGGACAAGGGTTTGACCTCCAAAATATATAAAGAACTCATATGATTCCACACCAGGAAGACAAGCAATCCAGTAAAAAAAATGGGTAAAGGACCTGAACAGACACTTCTCCAAGGAAGACATGCACAGGGCCCATAGACATATGAAAAAATACTCAGCATCACTAGCCATTAGAGAGATGCAAATTAAAACCACAACGAGATACCACATCACACTAGCCAGGAGGGCCATCATTAACAAATCAACAAACAACAAGTGCTGGTGAGGGTATGGAGAAAAGGGAACCCTAGTGCACTGTTGGTGGGAATGCAGACTGGTGCAGCCACTGTGGAAAGCAGTGTGGAATTTCCTCAAACAACTAAAGGTAGATCTGCCTTTCAATCCAGTGATCCCACTGCAGGGATTATACCCTAAGAATACTGATCATCAATTCAAAAGAATCTATGCATCCCAACATTCATAGCAGCATTATTTACAATAGCCAGGTGCTGAAAACAGCCCATCAGTAAATGAGTAGATCAAAAAATTATGGTACATTTACATAATGGAATACTATGCAGCAGAAAGAAAGAAAGAAAGAAAGAAAGAAGGAGCTCCTACTCTTTGTGACAACATGGATGGAACTGGAGAGAATTGTGCTAAGTTAAATAAGCCAGGTGATGACAGACAAATACCATGTGATCTCACCTATAAGTGGGACCTAATCAACAAAAGAAACAAATGAGCAAAATAGAACCAGAGACTTGAAAATAAAGAACAAACTGACAGTTACCAGTGGGAGGGGGATAATGGGGGAAAGAATGGGAAGGGGCAAGCAAAGGAACACGAATAGGGACTCATGGGCATGTACAGTACGGAGGCTTGACTGTGCAAGTAGGGGGGATGGAGCAGAGGTGAGCAGTGGGGAAAAGGGCAGGACAACTGTAACTGAACAATAAATTAAAAAAAAAAAGATAATGGACCAATATATGAAGGAGGGAAAATCTGTCAACCAAGAATTCTATACCCAGAGAACATATATTTCAAAAAGAAAGATAGAATAAATTCTTTTTTGAAGAAATGCTGAAGAGTTCACCAGGAGCAGACTTGCATTAGAAAAAAAATAGGGTTAGATGAACTAACAAGCAAAATAGTGATGACTCATAGATAGAGAGCAGGCTGATAGCTGTCTGGGAGTGGTGCAGGGGAGGTGAGGGAGAGTTGCAGGGGTAGAGGGATTGAGCTAAAGAGAAAAACTCATGGACAGAGTCAACAGTGTGTTGACTGCTAGGGGGACAGGAGGTGGATGGAGGTGTAGGAGGATACAGGGGGGATAAATGGTGATGGAGGGAGTCTTGACTTAGGGTAGTGAACACATAATACAATGTACAGATGATGTGCTGCAGAATTGTGCACATCAATTCAGGTTTCAATACCTGAAACCTGTATATTGTTAACCACTGCCACCCCATTAAATTAAAAAAAAAGGAAAACAAATCAATCAATAAAAAAAGGTTAAAGGAATTCAAGCACAGGTAAAATTATACCACATGGAAATATGAATCTATACAAAGGAATAAAGAACATATATCCTGTATAATTGCATTTATATGAAACTCTAGAAAATGTACACTAATCAGACATAAAAAGGATCAGTGGTTGCCTGGGGAGGGCAATTGAGAGGAATAGGACAGGATTACAAAAGGTGAATGAAGAAAGCTTTTGGATAAGGTGGACATATTCATTATTTTGATTCTAGTGATGGTTTCACAGCTATATGTACATGTCAATAATATCAAAATATATTATTGAAATATACAAAGTTCATTTTATGTCAATTATTATACCTCAATAAAGTTGTTATTATAATGCCTAGTAACACTGAAACTGCCACACATTCTTTTTAGGAAGAGGAAGAATACATACATTTAATAAGCAAACTTTGCTAGGGCCTTTTTCAGCTTACGATGTACTTTCACGCCCATTCATCTTATTTGATAATCAGAACCATCAGAAAAATGGAGCTATTAATGATTATATTGTGTATTCTGCCAGGACCGTGGAAAGTATCAAATTAGAGGAGGATAGGAAAGCTTTGTGTAAACACACGAAAAATGTTGTGATGTTTTGAGGATAGTCCTATGAACAATGCCAGCTCCCAAAGCTCTCAAACTGCAATAGAAAAAAATGTATTATTTCTACATTTGTAGCCCCTTTTCTAAGTGATTTTTGTTTGTTTTAACCTTTTTTTTTTCAATGTGAGAGAACAGCCATCTGATTCTAGTACTTATGAACTTTCATTTAAATGGCAAAATTTAGTTGTTTTCACATCACTGATTGCAATTCCCTTTCTTTGGCAGCCTTGAGAATGTTTCCAGGAGGTGATAGTTACCAGAGAACTGATTTCTTTTTTTTTTTTAGTTTTATTTTTTTTAATTTATTTACTTTTTAAATACATTTGTCTCTGCCTCCCCCACCACCCCTTTCCCTTGCCCCCTCCCTCCTTCCCTCCCTCAGCTCTTCCCCTTTGGTTTTGTCCATGAGTCCTTGCTATATGTTCCTTGACTTTCCCCTTCCCTTCCCTTTCCGTGCCCCCCCCCCTTCCCTCTTGTCTCTGTTGATTTCTTTTCCTTTCAGTGTTGCTGGTCATATTTTCCTTGCATCTTTGCATTGTTGGTTAGGTTCCGCTTAGAGGTGAGATCATATGGTATTTGTCTTTCGCCCCCTGGCTTATTTCGCTTAGCATGATGCCAGAGAGCTGATTTCAATGACATATAGATGGATGCTGCCTGAGCAGCTTGTCGTCTTTTATGTACAACTGTTCAGGGCTTTTCAACCTTTAAGTTCTTATTAAAATAGTCTATTGTGGGATGCTGTTATCATTGCTAAATGATATCAAATCTTCAGCAGTTAGATTTTACAGCACTTTGCAAATTCAATAGGAGTATTCTACATCTGCCTCCTCCTCTCTTTTCTCACATTACCAGTCTATGTTTTCAAACCCTCATTACCTTTTCCTTGGCCTATTGCAACAAGAGTCTACTAACCTCCTGTCCTCTTTTCTCTTTTCTCCCCTAATTTATTTCTATACAGAGATGTCAGATTACTCTTTCAGAAACAATCATCTCCCTTATTCAAAGATTCCTTCAACAATTCTCTATTACCTGAAGAATAAAGACCCAACTAAGTCATTCGAAGTATGCTCACAACTGATGTTTTTCCTCCTTTCATTTATACATAGTGCACAAACCATTACTCATTGTTTCCTTGAATGTTCATCAAAATTTACCACCTTTGAACCTTTGCTCATGCTTTATCTATGCCCCATTGTCTACATCCAAATATCTTCTCTTTGACAACGACTTGGTCCAAATGACATCTTTCTTGATAACCCCAGGAGTCAGAAATCAATCTCCCTCTCTCTCTCCCTCCCTCCCTCCAAGTTTGTTTGCCTTGGTCTTTGCTGTATCCTCAGAAACATAGTACTCTGCCTAGCAGTCAACAAATATTAGATAACTGACTTCCACAAATAATTTTGAGCATCCATTTTTGTTACAGGTTATGTGGTAGATGCTGGGAATTCAAAGTTAAATGAGACACAGTACCTTCCCCTAAAGAGTTCAGAATCTGGTGATGGATACAAATGTAGAGGTAGTTCTATCATGGTGCTATAGATGTCATGTTAGGAGAAAGTAGTGAGTGCTGCAGAATCATTGAGGAAGGAGTGCCCAAATCAGCCTGCAGCAGAGTGGGGAGAAAAATCAGAGAAAGATTTCTAGAAGAGGTTATGATTGAGCTGGAGATTCAGGGTGTGAAGATGTGTATATGATGGGTGGGGGTGGGAAAGGTAATCCTAGTCAGAAGAAAAGGCATAAAACACCATGGCACATTCTGGGAACTACAATTAATTTAGTTGTTGGGACATGCATGTCAGGGAAGGATTGGGAGATAACGCTGGCATGTAAAGCAGATGATCAAGGCCTATAGATGCTATTTACAAGTAAGTAGTTTGGATTTATCCCATAGAAAATTGGGAACTATTGAATAACTTTAAAGGAAGAAGTTGAATGGTAGCATGCATTTAAACATCTGAAGGCAAGAGGAGGTACTATTAGGCCCAAACTTCAGCTGCCACAGATGCAAATACACTAATGTCCAATTTCTGCATTTTGCCTTCTGGGCACAATCCTCATGACCAAACACCTACCAGAAAGATAAAGGGCTTTGTCCACCATGTACTCCTCAGCAAAACGAATGTGACAAAAGTTCTTTTTGCTTTTCCGAATAGCAATGATCTCTCCACACTGTTCAAACACTTCCACGATGATCTGCTCTGTCCCATTTTCAGGCAGGCCACCCACAAATACTGTTTTGCATCCTGGTGGTCGTTCTCGCGTTGCAGGAGGTGGAAGATCTATGTGTAAAAGCAAAAGCATTTGAAATTAAAATGTTTGCCTGGAACAGACCTCTTTGAAAGCTCACATGTTCCAGAGAGAGCCTTACTGTACCGACTGGGCTTTTGCCTAAGAGTGCCTGAAGCATGTGGCCCCACGGTGCTCATCTCCACTCCACAGCAAATTGGTTGCATGAACCTGAAAATCATTTTATTTCAATGGTTTGGTGCCCACAATAACTACAGGATAAATACTCAGACCTGTTTGCCTGTCCCATCTAGATAACTTTAATTTCATTCTTTACTTTTGCTTTGACACATTGCTCAATTTTCAGTCATTTTTGTTAAGAAGATAGTCGGATGAAATCTCACTTAGTTTCAACTCTCAGTTTCAAGGATTCTCAGAACCAGTGGAACACTGGTTTGTGTAATTCAGTTTGTAGTTACCATATTCTCTCTTTTCATTCTTACTGAAAGAACTGTTTTAGGATTAATTTGACAATGAGGAGGTGAACATTTACAAAAATATTTATACCTCTCCAAATAATTTGATTGACAATGTCAGCCAGAGTACAAATGATCCTTTTTTAGTTTTTTTTTCTTGATACCAATGAGCTCTTCCTCAAATTCCTTGATGGAGACCTGAGGTTTAGAGCTAAGCATGCAGCATTTAGAGGAAACTATGAAAGCCAGCAGAGAATAAACTCATCTTGGAAACCATTAACTAAAGTCAGATAAATTTGGCTATAGAGAGACATTAAAAACCTACTCAATGAGATTCTCCCTCTGCTTAAAAAAAAAGGGCTTCTTACTCATCTTATCATCTTATACACGAAGCCCGTTATATCTGCCAGTTCTTTGTTGCTATTTATACATATATATCAAAGCATTTTCCAAGCAGAACCCTATAATTCATAGTCCCCCAAAACAAAGTGTGGTGATCAATGGTTTTTCTAATACTGGTCTTGGATGTGCAAGGATTTATTTTGTGTAATCCGTTCTCTCCATTGAGCTCTTAACAATAATTCTCTCAGCTCAAGATCTGGAGAGCTCAACAACCAGTGATTACAGCTCACGTACAAAAATAAATGAGTCTCACTTGTGGATTATGTTAAAACCCCCACCTGGCTCTTATGCAAGTTGGCAAGCAGAGGACTTGGGAACTTCCTTGGGTATCAGCATCTCTAGCTTCCTTACTTTGCTACCATTGTCTGCCTTATCAGTGTGGGTCAGAATAATCAGCTGTTTAGTCAATAAAAGGGGAGAGGGATTCAGGGAACTTACAAAGTTTCTGTTAATTTTTAAATGTCTATAATTTTAAGAACTCACTGTATTGTTTTTTTGATCCATATGAGAAATTTAAAGAGAAAATAACCTAGGGAGCAGGGATCTGAAATGTCTTAGTCATAGACACTGGAGAGGTTATAGTTTTAGTCAAAAGGGGGGAGATGAGGTCCAGAATCTATCGATACTTCAGCTTCTGAGTTTTTAAGAACTGGAAAGGTTTCTAGATAACACATTTCAGTAATTTCAACTCTAGCAGCACATTAGAATCAAGTTGGGAGTCAAACAACAAAATAAACAAAAATGCCTAGGCCCCACTCTAATGAATCTGATTTAATTAGCCTGAAGTTCAGGCTGTACATTATATTTTTAAAGCCCCTCAGGCCAGTAAAATAGGTAGCTAGGATCGAAAACCACTGACTTGGTCTAAACTCATATTACAAAAGAAAAATCTTAGCTGAGTAAGGTTCAGTGACTCATTCAAGGTCATGAAGTCAGACAGAAAGATAAGGAGCATGAACTTAGAAAACATAAACCTGTATTTAATCATTAACTTAATTACACAGTCTGTATGACCAGGGGAGAACCTCTGAGAACCTTATTCTTCATCTCTAAAATAAGGATACAATCTTCTACCTTATAAAGTAGGATAATTGATAATCTATTATCTATATTGCATGTGGTACAATTCCTAGCACTTGATAGGTTCCCAATAAACAGTAGTTATTATAGTGTTATTATTATTTACTATTATAGAACTCATATTTCCTAATTGCCAATTTGGGGCTTTCTAAAGCCCTACCACAAGTCTGGAGTAGAGTGGTAGCTAAGACCTGGACTTTTAAACTCCCAGCTCCTTGTTTTGTCCAGATCTTTAGATAAAACTGGGTTTAGCAAGGAATCAACAGCTGTGAAAACATACATGGTTTTGCCCATGGAACATAACCCAGCCACTGACTAAATTTATAAAGAATTTGCAGGAGCATATGTACAGGCAGAGCAATGTTTACAAATCAAAGACTTTAGAATAAAATCTTGTTTCAGGATCCCTCTGAAATTTACTATTTAAAGGAATTTGATGGTAAATAATCTTTTTGTGAAGCAAATAATCACTTTCACATATTATTTGAGTTTGTTTAGTTAGATCTACCTTAGGTCCATTGATGGGCTCTTAGGAGTATCTTTACTGATACAGTTACATGTAACACTGTAAATACAAAGACTCTTTTCCTTGACTACATTTGTGGGACTTAAAAATTCTGTGACGAAGTCATCACCTATTTAGATGCTGTCATTGCTCTATGGTGACTGGTAAGTAAAGGAGCATAAAAGCTACTACGAGTAGTGTCAAGAATGTTGGGGATTTATTTATTTTTCCCTGGGTAAACGTAGAAAAGCTTCTTCGATAGCATTTGCTGAGGTTTAGGTGTATGCCACCAAGCAAGGCAATGGGCTGTACTATCTTCCTTAATGGATAGTACTAGTTCCTTAATTAACAGCTCAAAGCGCTTTGTTGTTTGGGCCTGATTTTGTAATCCCACTGAAATACAATGATCTGGGCACAGCAATGATAACTCCATAGGAGAACAGATTCAAAGTGCTCAACTATTAATCAGGCAAGGTGTTAAGCTCTTCTAACACCCCTTTCACCACTCTGGATGGAAAGGAAAACTTTCACTTAAAAAGATTCAAGATAACTGGGAGTATAAAGAACTCTAATCTCTGGTACTGGAAAAGGAGGAGCTTCTAGTAATTCTAATTACAACTAAGCACCTACGCTGGGGGGCTGTGTTGAGGCAATCAGCATTATCAGAGTCACTGCTGATATTTGAGGCAGGGAGCAGCTTAGAGAACCTATAAGCCACTTGCATCTTGCTTTTCAAAGGAACATCACAAATCACTCAACTGGTTTGCCAGAATTCACACATTGCAAATCTTTTGAATTGATTTTATTAGACAGCTCAAGATTGAAGGCCCCGTAGACAATCAGCAGGGGTCAGATATATTTTTGTGTAATCCCAACTGACTGCAAATAATCAGAAGGTGGCAAATATTTACTAATTCTCTATTTACCCACTTCCTTAAATTTTTTCTATAGAACCCAGTCCTAGGGCCCAAAGTCAATGAGGTGGGCCTGTTTTGAGATGGTAAAATTAAAAAAAAATGCTGTTTTATGGCTCATGGGTTCCTTCCATTGTGCCTGGACACAGATAGAATATGACATTCCACCATTTATTCCACATGTACTGTTATTTCCCAGTACACTCAAAATGTAACTTCTCCATACAGAAGGTCTATTAGAGTAAAAAATCTTGGCAAAATTGAATTCTCTGGAGATGGTGCTGCCCTTCTATAACAGCAACTGAGAATTGCTGACTGAGAATGCAGTAAATCTATGATAACCACTCTGTGAATAGGAAGTAACTGTGATCCAGAAAGCTTTCTTTTGCCATGTGTTTGACTCCTGGGAATCAGAGGATGTTGCTTGTAGGACAATGGGGTACTCACTCATCATTTATCTTTAGGAGATTAGCGCAGTCAGCTCCAGTCTAGTTTGACCCATTGCATTTTTAGACCCAAACTGATTTTGCCTAGTCTATATCAGAGGGGTTAAGTTACTTACAAAAGATCTCATGGCTATTTAGTGGTGGATATCTGGGATATGAAAGCGTGACTGTGTCACTTCAGGGTTTGGAGACTTAGCCATTATACAATACTGCGTGCTCCACTAAAGGTACAAAGCTCTATATGCCAACTACCAATTTCCCCTTGCTTTTTTTTCCTAATACATTTTGAGGGGATTTTATCTAGGTGAATAATTACTGTGGTAGCTACATCCTTAATGTCAAGAATCATATATTTAAACCTGGATGAAACCTTGGCAGTGTCTAGGTTAATCTAACTCGATATCCTCACGCCACAGAAAAAGAAACTTATACCCAGGGAGGTTATGTGGCTAGCCCAAGATATGGTGACAGAACTGGAATAGAATACAGTTCTCTTGACTTTTAACCTGGTAGCTTGCCCATTGTTACATAATAGCATTTTTTTGCACATTCAATATATATTCACCTAGAAAAGTTTACCAGTGAGTTGGCTATATGTCTGAAAACATAGATTTAGAAATTGTCAGCATGTAATTACTCCAGGTTCTCTAGGTTTTCTTTTTAGGGCTTTGACTTCTTTTGTATCCATCCATCCATCCATCCAACCATCCATCACTCTAGAAATATTTATTGAATGCCTAATTTATGTCAGATACTTTTCTAACCGCTAGGGATACATCAGTGAAAATAGACAAAAACCCCTGCCTTTGTGAGATTTACATTGTATAAATTAAATAGTTTATTAAAAGATAATAAGTGTTATGTAAAAAAAAAATAGAGGAAGTAAGTAGAATTAAGAGTATGGTAGGGAAGGCTGCACTTTCAAATAGGTTGTCAGAGTCACTGAGAAAGAGACATTTGAACAAATACTTGAAGGAAGTGAGTGGGTTAGCCATGCAGCTAATTAGGGGAAGAGTATTCCAGGTGGAAGGAAGAGCCAGTTCAAAGATCCTACAATGGGAGATTTCTTGGTATGGTCATGGAAGAGCATGGAGGTCAATATAACTGGAATTGTGAGTGATGAGCAGGAGGGTAGTAGGAGCAAAGTAAAAGAGACAGTATGGGAGAAGGAGGAAAGATCATAAAGAGCCTTCTAATGCATTAAATGGACTTTTACCTTTCTTGTCAGTA